CGGTTGCGTCACCGGCCGGTTTATCGGCAGACATCTGAGGAGGTTTTTCTCACTAAATCGGGCCCAAAACTTTGTGGATTTAACTCGTTCGGTGGAGAAAACTACTCAGGAGAAAGTTGTGGAGAGACTTGTGGCCAGCTTTATGAGGAAGGAACCAGTCGCTCTAGAACGATGGGGAAGGTGTCTGCATGGAAAATAAGAAACGATAATAATGAAAGAGGCCGTTCAGAACCTGTAGTAACTCTGGTAAAGACGTTAAAAACGATTTGTTGCTTCGAATCTCGCTCAGATCTGGTTTTACAGTCGTCATTTAGATCTTTGTGCTGCTGATTTAAATGGTCACGGTTATTGTGTGGCCTTAAAAATTGCAAGAATCCGCAGAAGGAGAACCTGATTTTAATCTATACGGTCTTTTCAAGCGGCTGCACGATCACGGACAGAATGATTATTTACAAGATTATGTCGACGGATGCTGAGATGATGATTATTCGTGCTACATTCCTCCCCAAAAAAGAGTTTAAATAATCTACTAGAGGCTAAATATGAACAAAACTGCACCCAAAACTCCTCACTGGCTGAACATCTGCTCATCAATAGATGCCATAATTTCCAGATGTTCCCTGAACGCCTCCCGTGCAGCTCCAGTAGAAGCTTCTCCATCAGTTACTGCAGAGAGACCAAACATGAGCTTGAAATCAGGAGTTCTGACGTCAGATTTACCTGAAACCAGGTGATTTTATCCACACGGACGGTTTTCTTATTAAACGTTGAAATAGAAAACCAAAGTCATGACTAATATAAATCACTAATATAAATACAAATCTTCGTTTTTGGTGCTTTTCTCTCATTTCAGCAGATTTTTCTGAGCATCTGCAGGTCAACAAACTCTGAGTTTTAAATAAAAAAGACCCTCTAAGAACCTTTAACTCGGAGTAAATGATGCTGACAGTATCATCTGACTGCTGCACGTTTGTGTCTCGCCGTAGAAATCTGTATTAAAACGATCGGTTCTGCTGTTTTCACACAACAGTCTGTTAAAAAAGCTGCTTTCAGTTTGGATTCTCTTAGAAATGAAGGATTCTGCCTCCAGAACATCTCGCGTCTCGTTTTGGGGCATTAAGCCGACGCTCGTAATCACGGCCGATTAATCTCACCGACGTCCACAAACGGACCAATCGGGACGCAGCGTCTTTAACTCAGTTCTGATTTCCAGGAAAAACCAACGCGGAGCGAGTCAAAGGCAGGTTTTGGGTAACGGAGCGCTGAGCGTGGGAGGACTGACCTCTCCTCAGGATTTCATCGATGGGAGCTGCTCTGTATCTGCCTCTGGATCAGTCCGCCGGCCGATAATCGATGCTGTGGAGGGCGTTAGAGCTCTCCTCTGTGTTTGTGTGAATCCTGAGTCCTGCTTCTTATCGCCGCCGCCAGCCGCCGCCGTAGAGCTGATGGTTTAACAGGTTAACTCTGGAGACGGTAAAACTGAAGCCAAACCAACATTCCTGTAAAATGCTGTCGTTATTATAATTACCTCCACTAGCTAACGACTGGAATTCAGGGTAAAACATGAGCTTCACTGTTTAACTAGATAACGTTAGCTGCTTTGTGTTGATTTTTGAGTTTTATTGTCGTTTTCTGTCACGTTTTTGTCCCTTTGAGTCGTTTTACGGCTCATTTTTCTTTTATGTCTCATTTGTGGGTCATTTTATGTCTCGTTTTTGTGTTGTTTTGTGTTTGATTTGGGCTCTTGTGTGTCTTGCTTTACTCATTTTGTGTTAATTTTTGTCTTGTTTTTGTCCTTTTGTGTCTCCTTTGTGACGTTTTCTGTCTTATTTCTCGTTTATGTCTTATTAATCGTTGTTTTGTGTCATTTTATGTCTAGTTTTTGTCACGTTGTGTCTCCTTTATGTCTTCTTTGTCTCGTTTTTGTACTTTTGTTGTCTTGTTTTTGTCCTGTTGTGTCTTCTTTGTGTTGTTTTCTGTCTTATTTTTCTTTTATGCCTCTTTAATTGTTGTTTTGTGTCATTTTATGTCTAGTTTTTGTCACGTCGTTTTGTGTCTTCTTTTTCTATCTTCTTTTATGTTGTTTTGTCTCATTTTTGTACTTTTGTTGTCTTGTTTTTGTCATGTTGTGTCTTGTTTTTCTTTTGCATCTTGCTTGTGTCATTTTGTCTCATGTTTTTCTTGTTTGTGTCTCATTATTGTTGTTTTGTGCCTTATTTTTCCTTTGTATCATGTTTGTGATGTTCTGTTGTGACGTTGTTTGTCTCTCTTTTGTCTCCTTTCTGTCTTTTTGTGTCTCATTTTTGTCATGTTGTGTCTGATTAGTGATATTTTGCCTCTTGTTGGTGTCAAACTTTTTCTTCAGTTCCCTTCGACTTTTGCAGTTTGTGTCTGTATTTTGTAGAAACCGAACCATCATGTGTCACAGTCAGCTGGTTGCTGTTCGACTGAAGCTCATCAGGTTTTACAAACATCAGGAACGTTTCTGCAGATGAATCACGTCCAACCGTCGGTGTGACACAGAGAAAACATCCGTTTAAGACGCTGATTTGAGCAGATTTCGGCGCCGGATTCTTGCATCTGCAGCAGGAATCCTGAAGGAGCCACACAGTCACAGATCCTGCAGAACTAACATCATGTGGACCATCTGCTGTGACTTGACTCCAGCTCCGTACAGTAAACCAGATCAGCACACGAGGCTCTGAGCTGCTTTTAATGTGTTTTGGTGAAAGCAAACTGCAGTTTCACTTCATTCTGGAACCGTTTCAGCCGTTGTCAGCATTGCATTACACTGCAGATAATGCACGTGAAATCAACTTAGACCGGAGAGGAACTAACCTGAAGCTGGCGCGCGGCTGAAGTTCTGCTTCCTGACGAGATTAATCCGCCGCCGCCGCCAGCGTTTGGCTGAGGAGAAGCTCTGTGGCTGAACGGCCTCGGAGCCGAAACGCAGCATAATTTAGAAACTATCTCCACAAATCGTAAAAAGAACCAAAACAAGTGGAGGCTCCTAATGTGCTGCTGTCTGCCGCTGGAGGATGAAATAAGCGAGAAGCTGCACAAACAGCCACAAAAAACACGAGCAGGACCGTAAATCTGCAGCCATTTGCAGCCAGAGGAGACCGAGGCTCGCTCTGATAACAGCCTTTGTTCTCTTTTCTGCCTCGTTCTCCGAGACAGACACCAAACCAGCAGGTTGTCACGGTGACAGCAGAGGTCATCCCGATGAATGCCTCCTATTATGGGACGCGGTGCTCGGATCCCGTCTTGGAGGTCGAAAGGTTAAACGTCCAATCAGAAGCTAAAACCCTCTGAAACCGAGAATCCTAATAAACCGGATCAATAGATGTCAATGAGGTTTCACAGCAGCTGCAGAGTTTAATCCACAGAAAGCTCATGAAGGAAAAGCTTCGTGGCTGATGGAAGGTTTAGAGCCTCGCATACGGATAAATGACGAAACTCTGCAGAAAGTGTCCTTAAAGTGAAGCTGGAAGAACGGTCACAACGAACTTTAGAGTTCCTCTGATACAGAAAACCTGACGACGAATTCATCTTTAATGTGCGAACGAGTCAGAAGATCATCCATCAGAAAACCAGAATGTTGATTTATTGACAGACAGCAAAACATGTTTTGGGCTCAACAGTGTTTGAGTTGCGACAGCATCTAATGAAATTATGTTCAACCAACAAACATTATTAAGTTTGTGGAATTGGCTTTAACTCTTCAATCAAATTTTAATTAACTGTCAGAAATGGTCTGTTCATGGTAAGACAGAGAAGAGGAAATAGAAAGAATTTCCGTTCGCCTGAATTTAGTTTTAAATCAACTAATGCAGAAATTCAAGTTGAAGCTACACACGATATTAAGTTGATGCAACATCAGTACATTAACTCATTAAAATAATGTTTGAAACGTTCCTAAAACTGTCAAATATATTTATTTTTTTAAAACTGTGCAACCATGCATTTAATTAGAAAGTGAAAATAGGTCTCCTGGATTATTTTTAAAGTGCATGTTTGAGTTCAGACAACTTGTAATAAAATTAAGTTCAAACAACAACTTACATTAAGGTCGACGAATTAAGTGTCTGAAATTGTGCAGGTTTGTTCAAATTCTGAACTCAAGGCGGGAAAAAAAACAACTTTATCGAGCCAGTTTCATGAAGTTATCTCAACCTAAAAATCCTATAAATCAACGAATGCAGACATTTGAGTTTAAATTAGACACAATATTAAGTTGATGCAACATTATTGTGTCAAAAAAACTCACAAAAATGTTTTGTAAGTGGTGGAAACAGGTTCCTTTAATTACTTTGTACAGTGAACTATTTATGACCAAAGTCTAGTCGGGTGATCGGTGTGTTTGCAGGTCCAGAATCTTCAACAGTTCATATCCACGGTAATGATTCTCTTCTTTAAATCTGCGTCAGTCTGTTTTAATCCACACCCGGTTTGTTTTCTGGGCCTGGTGCGACCCGCCGTCTGCGAGTCTTTCCATGTATTTGTCTTTTTCCAGTTTGCAGCCTGCAGTTGAAGGATTACGCTACGGCGTTCTGAAATCGGCTCGTCAGCCTGCCAGCCACAGATAAGCACACTCAGGATCGATTAGATCTGCCTTTAATCTATTCAACTTTTCTTTTCTCTTTTTCCCTCCTCCTCTCTCTCTCTCTCTCTCTTTTTCCCAGCGAACAGAAAAATGCTTAGTATGGGAGATGTGAGGTTGTTGATACGGTGACTTTGGGAACATGTGGCCGAAGGGCGAACGCATTGTGAGCCGCGTTTTCAGCCATGAGATCATATTAAGTATGAATTTTTACAAGTCCTCTTTAACAAGCTGCTGCGGGCAAATACCAGCTAAACAAATGTGAATAATTTTCTATTAACCGTGAAGGACAGAGATCATTAGCGACGGAGACAAAAACGTCTTTATGAGGGCAGGAAAAGCATGAATGAAAGCCGGTTCTACAATAAACGCACACAGACACACAAAACAAACTCACCTTTAGCTCATCACTGTGCTTTATTTTGAAGGTTGTCCTTCCTGCACGGCGACACAGATCCGCCTGGAAGAGACGAGAGAAGACGGAAATGTACATTAACTACATGTAAGAGGCAGTTTATCGACGGGAAGCGATGCAGAGAAAATTACACAACAACGCTGTAATTAGATGAGTGTTAATTAGCCGTCCCATCACATGTAATTACTCACAGAAACAGGAAGAAAAACCAAAACAAACTGACAGCTTTGACTCGCGCATATCAAATATTTTCAGTCTCTCATGCAAATATAAACGCTGAAAACTTCCCAAACGAACCTTTTCTGGCCTCTGAACGAACACCAAGCTGCCACGCGCCGCTTCCTTCGGCTCTGATAATGAATTTATGAATGTGTAAAAACGGGTTCCAGCCCATTAGAGGAGGCGTCGGCTCAGACAGCCGACAGCGTTCCAGCAGAGATGCTGCAGAGATTCTCAGACATTTCTCTGCCTTCAGCGTTTACCTCCATCAGAACAGCTGTACGGCGGCGACATGCACGACGGCAGCCAAGAGGACGCTTCGCTCGGGTTTTCAGCTCGGTTCTGACTCAACAAACTACAACCTGCAGCTGGTTTAACGCCGTAAAGTCTGATGTTCAGATCAGAAAGCTTCAGCCTCCACTGCTGATTTATTACAGTTTGCATCACATCAGGACTAAAAAAAGGACAAAAGAAGGTTTAAATGTTGATTAAAACATGAATATAATGTGTTAGTATGAATCTGATTTTAATCTACTGAACCCTGAAACCTGCTGCTGAGTTTGAAAGATGTGTTGGTCCTTGAACTACTCATCTTTGACCTGCTGTTGATAAACTTCATCAAATCGAAGCTTAAAATAATTTCATTTAATCCCTTTATTCTACATTTAAACATCCACCACATATAAACCATTTGTTCCAACCAGATTCTGTAAAAAAAACTAAATATTTTGCGCTATTTGACGCAAAAGAAAAGCCATTCATAAGCCACCTGCGACGAATAGTGACAAAAATTCAGACTTTTCAACTAAATTATCCAAACCTAAGCTTAAAATTTCATCATAATCACTTTATGTGACATGTGTCTGTTAAATATTCACCAAAAATGAACCGTTTGCAGTAACGAGTTTCTGTCAAAAAACAAAAAAATTCTGCACTTGTCCCAAAAACTCTAAAACTATAAATGACGCAGCTGCAGCCAACAGTCACATCGCAAAAATTCAGACACTTTCCAACCAAAGTGGCCACAAAATTGTGCAAATCTAGCTTCAAAATCACCAAAACTCGCCAAAAATAAACAGTTTGCAGCAACTAAATCTGTAAAAAGCTAAAAATTCTCCGGTGCGATGCAGCCGACGGTCAGGATTCTGGGGCTGTTCGGCTGAACTGCAGGCAGTGTTTGCACAGGACAGATGGGAGACGATTATGGAAGCAAATTTAAAATGCAAGTAGTAAAATATTAACAGTCTGCAGAGTAATTCTTTTTTTGTCATTCTGACTCAGTCCTGCTGACAGAAGACGTCTCTGAGTTCTTCTTCATGTTGTTCTGGTTCCACAGAGCTGCAGGACTTCGTGTCTTTTACTGTCTTTTTGCATCTTGTAGTTGGCATCTGGTGTCTCTTTGTGGTTATTTTTGCTCATTTTGTTGCTTTTTCTGTCGCTTTTTCTCGATCAGGTAATCTTTGCATGTGCTAACGTTGATTCTGCATCTGTTTGATGTTGCTTTGCATCCTGTAGTTTTGTCTTTTTGTGGTAGTTTTACAAAGAAATTCACCTTTTTTCGGGATTCATGTCGTTCTAACTGTGTCGTTCTGCGTTCTCTCTCCTTCATGTTCTTCATTTATTCACATTTATTTCTCTCGTATTAGCAGCACCAGTGAAAACTTTACTTTAACCATAACTTTTCATTTTTTTTCTCCCCTTTTTAAAATGATTTGTAGCACCATAACTGTGTCATTCTGCACATGTCTGAGTTCTCTCTGCTCCTTCATGGTTGTTGAGAAATGAGCCACAGTGAGGAAAAACTTGTTGTTTTTTGTAACTTGTTGTTGCTGCAGATCTTTGCCTCGTCAAAACAAAAACACATAAATCTGAGCTCCACATACCCAGACGTGACCACGTAGTACCGCTGCTACACTGTGAAACCTCATCATTAATAAATGTGTGCAGCACTAAGTCTTCACACTCATCTGAAGCCGTTGTTCTAACTTTGAAGCTTCTTTCAAAGTTTGGTTCGGGGCCAAACGGCAGCAGCACCGCGGGCCGGACTCAGCGGCAGGAATCTGAGACGTAAGCCACTTCCTTCACGGCCTCCCAGATCACCTGAGGTGTTATCTGAGCCCAGCTGCCTCGGCGAGCGGCGCCGACGCCCCGGAGCAGCTACTTAACCCGGCTCGGTCCCGCCGGGGCCGCCGGGGGACCCGCGGTGCTGCCGAGTCGCTGCCCTGCATGTGAGCGACGGCGGAGATGAAAAGCTTTGAGGCTGCAGCAGATGAACGAGGCTGAAAACACGGAGAGAATCTGGAACCGCGAGGTCGGCCCGCTCCGTCCAGCGTGGGCGCCACGGCCTTCAGCGACCAGGTGAAGAGAAACAGCGCCATCGCTCATAACGGCTAAATATCAAAAGGCCAAAAACCGCCTTTATCTCCGGCTCCACATTTCTTCTATCCACGTCTTCATAAGTGAGTGTGCAGCCAGAGATCACACGGCAACACTCGGCGGTAATTAACGGCCTGCAGACGCTCAGGAGCAGCTCCACCAAGAAATTAAAGCACCTGTTTGATGTGTGACTCCACCAGCAGCTGGAACAGAATCACAAGTCGGCTTTCTGACACGATCCAGCCTGAACCTGGTGCCTCGGAGAGCGCTGCTGTTTTAACATCATCACTGATTCTTAGGCTGTGAATTAAAGCCGTTAATTCGGTCTGACTGGCTGGATGTCGGTGGGAACCTGCCTCTGGATGCTCAGTTCGTTTCAACAGCAGCAACCGGACGGAAAATAATCACTGAAGATTTCTGGATTCTTTTTGAAAGAAGACAAAAAGTTTGTCGACTCTCTGCGGAGAGCGTGGACGGAGACAGACGTGGTGAAACGTCTCTATGAGTCACATTTAGCTCATCAGACCAGAACATCCCAGATGTTTTCTGGACCAGCGTATCGATGCCGGCACTCCACAAACCAACAACCTCCAAGCAGCAACTTACACTCTGAAAATGACCAGATTTAACTCCTGCTTGATTCTTTCAGTAAACAGCTGTGAAGATCTATAAAGAACACGTTGGCTCTGTTCTTGTTTACCTTCTGGTTATGGACAAAGGTTCCAAGCGTAGCATGTGCTAGCTAACATGGATCCATCAAACGCAGCTCAGAACATCCCAGACACTGACCTGACCAACGTATCCTTCACGCTGATACGACAAGTTTGACTCTAGACAGCTGCAAAGATCTAAAAACAACTTGTTGACTACATTTGCCAATAAAAAAAAGCAGTTTTGCATGTTGGCTTTTAGTGGCTGGTTGTCTGCAGTGAGCCTCGACAAAGAAAAATAATTTAAAAAACTTTATTTTTAGCTTCTCTGTCCAGGAAATCTGTTTGCATTGCTGTTGCAGGACCAAAGCAACTTGGTTGGAGTCGATTTGAGTCATTTATTTACTCACTGATGATCAAATTTGTCTTTTTATCGGTAGAAGTCGTGTTTTATTGGTTTCTCTGGCGTCTAAAGTTTATGTCTTTGAAACTGTTTCACTAGAACTAGTCACTGTTTGGCAGCGACGTGTTTAAAGAAACCAACCAGAACTTTTTATCCACCGAGGAGCGCCAGACCGTTCTACGCCTTCAGTACGGTTCGATGGGAATTCGTTTTTCTCGGCAGATGATCGTTTTAGTCGCGTTTTATTCCGTTTTGCGATAATTTGCTGTTTGATTTTGATTCTGTTCCGTCGTCTTTTTCCCTCAAACATCCAACAAGAGCAACAGATTAGCCTGTTTGCTGTCAGATTTATGACGCCATCAGCATCACGGCAACCGGAACAAACACCTTCATCATCCTTATTCGGCGCCGTGACGTCCCTCATCGTCGTTAGACAACACAGGGAGGGATGGAAGTCAGTCCGAGGATCTGCCTCCGTCTCTAAACCGAGTCTTACAGATCAGCTGAATGCGCTCGATACGCAGACGGCGATGATGATGATGATGATGATGATGATGACAGCTCGTTACGTGGAGGGAAATCGATCCGACGGTGTTTGGTTTTCGCCGGAGACGAACCGTCGATGCGACCGGCGTCTGGACCGCCTCGAATGCGACGCGCATGAATAAAGCGGTATTGATCGGAGGCCGCGGCCGACGTCTCTGTTGTGAGCATGTTGCTCTGATAATGTTGGGCATCGACCGGTTTTGATGAATTGCGTTCATTTCTGAAGAGCGATAAACGCGAGGACGAGCCGCGGAGCTCGTTCTTTATTTCAGCGATAAATAACAATCAGGAGAAAAACCTGCGAGAGACGATGTGATGGACGAGGACGAGCCGAGGACGGTGTGTTCAGGCTGTAATGAACCCATGGAGGTTCTGCTGCCTCTGAATGTGTGGATGTATGCTCGTAAACTCCAGGAGAAACACCAACGTTTCTGCTCAGCTTTCAGGTTTGATGTTGTTTAGTGACACTTTGTTGTTGTTGTTATTGTTGTGTGAGATCTCTTCAACTACACGTTTACCATCTAGAACCACATTAAAACCCATTAGAGTGACTAATGTGACATTTCTCAGTTTTTAAAAAAAGAAAATCTAATTTTTTTTTAATGTAAAACGACAAATAAAAACATCAGTGTGGTTTAAAACACACACTTTATATTTTTTTCTGTATTTTTGAAAAAAGAAATTGCAGAAAATTTCATAATCTCAACATAAATTCACAAACTTTACCTTTTTAATGGTAGTAGATTAAAGTTTGTATTTCTTCTAAAATTAAACGTATTTGGTGTTTGATAGTTTAATTAGTCTGTCGAAGGTTTTTCTGATTGTTATTAATGCTGAAATTTAAAAAAAAAAA